AAAAAAAAAAAAAAAAAAAAAAAAAAAAAAAAAACCTCCTAGTATGTATGACCTACTGGTTCTGCTTCTCTGGCTGAACCCTGACTGATGCAAGTCATAAGCCTAATGTCTGACAAGATAGAATCTTAAAACATCATTTGGAAAAGATAAGCATGACATCTACTTATAAAAGTTATAAAACTTGACAGAAAAGATATATCCATCATAAATATATATCTCTAAAAATAATGCCTCAAAAGATACCAAACAATAACTGATATAACTGCAGAGAGAGAAATCAACAACTGAACCTGGAAACTTTAGTATACCCGATAGGGCACATTGTGATGGGCTGCCAGGGTCCCCCTTCAGGGCTGGGGCACCCGTTCCTCCAGTTGCCAGTGTGGGAATACCTCCCTGGGAATTGTCCTGGCTGAAGGGAGCTGCCCCTCTCAGGTCACACATCCTCCCCAGGGTCACTCCACTTCCAGTGGTGCTCACTGCAGGGGTTCAAAGACCTTGCCCCCTTGCCTCAACTTGCAGTCTCTCTAAAGGGCCATCCTAGTTTGAGTTCCCTGTAGAATCAAATGAGGCCTCTGTTGCAATTGTACAGCAGTTCAACTTTTTCCTCCGCCCACTCCCTCCAGGTATCACTTTTTAATAGGTATTTTTCTAGAGAACGCTATCCAATAACACCTCTGCACGCGATTTCCATCTCAGAATCTGCTTCCATGGAATCTTACCCTATGACAAGTGGTACCAGCCGAGATCCTAGGAAGGCAGACTCTAAGATGGGATTTGGGTGAGAGATCACTTGTCAGCTTGCTGGCAACGAGGACCCTATCACTTGTGATTGATGGACTACTGATAGCACATGTGAGGCTGTAGTGGCACAATCATTAAAACTGTCCCTGGTGTTGAACCAGGATGGGATATTGATGGGAGGGAGCCGCTGGTGGGTGCTGCATCTTAGATCTTTAGGAGTTTGGGGGAGGTAGCAATTTTCCAGACTGTGGAATTGAGTGGCTATTACTGGGAGCCATCGACAAGGACAGGCAGAGGGTGGTTAATCACCAAGTAAAGGGAAAGTGTGAAAATCAGAGGGCTTCTTGAAGCCTGATGGCAAAAATGTAAGAGTAGCAAACTTCAGATAAGTTGAATTCTCAATCCCAGAAAGTTTGCTATGTCAAGGTCAGGACCTTGTATGGAAAGGAGGAAAGCCTGAGACTTGGGATGGGGACATTCAGGTTGATGTGGGCAAACACCTTTAAACACCAGTCCCTCTGGGCCTGCAAATGTGACCCACGCCTCCCAGTCTTGTTTGAAGATGATGCAGACAAGGCCTCTACTTTGTGATAAAACCGGTGCAGTCTACTCTTTCCTCCCCTCCTGATAACTAGACCAATAACTAGGGTCAAGTCACTACAAAAGCCGACCAAGGAAATGCTGGGTTTGATAAGGGAGGAAGATTCAGTTGGTGTGGGCCTGGCCAATCTGTGTCTGTAGGAACCAGGAGAGTACGGCTCTGGATCCCGAGGATGCTGGCCACGGAGCGTAGAACATATAACTGAGTGCTGGAGAGTTTATTGGAAAGGAGCTCACTTCTGTGATAAGTGTTTACACGCTCTGCTGAGGATGCCAGGAGGTGGTGCTAACACACTGCAAGAAGGGCTTTTGGTGGCTTGGAGAAATAGATGGCTCTTTGCTGAGCAGAGATGCCAGAATTGCTAGGCTCAGATAAGTGGGCAATCCAGAGCAGGCAGAGGGTGTAGGGCTGGAAAATGTACAAGCTCTGCTTCTTTGGAAGGCCGGGAAGACCCTCCGTTGAGATACAGAATGTGCTGGTAGGAGGGGTCACCAGCATCACTGAGAAGCTCTGTGGGGCGGACGGTAGGGGTTCATTGCAGAACTCGGCTCACTGAACCTCAGAGACAAGTCGTCCTCAGTAAGCAGTAATGCCAGAGTGGAAGGGGGGTGGGAGAGTGGAGGGAATGCTTTACCTTCTGAGAGCGATGAGGACAATTGATAGAACAAGGCGTCTCGACAGGGTGGTGCTCAGTGTATACAATCCAGTGGGATAAAGGCTTGGATGATCCGGAGGTTGAGGTTAACCTTTACCTTTACTGACCAAGGCAGAGGAAAACTACAATATAATCAAATTAGAATGGAAAGTGAAGACATCGCTGAGGACTTTACATAAATGAAAAGTATTATAAGAGAGTGCTATGAACAATGTACGCCCACAAATTTAGGTAATTTAGATGACACTGAAAATTCAATTCCAGTGATTCAGCAGGCGGCCGGCCTCTGTGCGCTGCCCACCTCTGGCCACAAGAGGGAGCGCGAACCCGCCCTTTCCGACCCTCCTGGAGCGCATGCGTGTTCCGGCCGTGGATGGGGCGTCTGGTCCACCAGAAGGAAAAAGCTTAGAATGCGCTTCCGGGCTTCTTATGCAGAAGCTTTCGTTTTTCTAGAATTCCCCTGTGTATTTCGTTCTTTACTTTCTCATGGTACCAGGACCTATTTTACAACAATAGCGCTCAGTGAGGCGTTTGAATGTCGTACGAATAACGTGAGGGAGTTTGTTTTTGTTTTTTTTGCGGTACGCGGGCCTCTCACTGTTGTGGCCTCTCCCGTTGCGGAGCACAAGCTCCGGACGCGCACGCTCAGCGGCCATAGCTCACGGGCCCAGCCGCTCCGCGGCATGTGGGATCTTCCCGGACCGGGGCACGAACCCGCGTCCCCTGCCTCGGCAGGCGGACTCTCAACCACTGCGCCACCAGGGAAGCCCACGTGAGGGAGTATTTTTATAAAATTCAGAGAAAGAAACGCAGACGTGGGTGAAGGAATGGACAGAATCTTGGTCCCTTCGAGCCCAATATGAGCTGAAGTGGGAGGGGAAACAAGCGCTCCCCTGGACGTGCTTTTATAAAGTTTTTAATGTTTCGATTTCCCTGTAACGTTGAACTACTTGAAAACATTGAAAAATTGGAAAGTAGGGGTGTTAAACATCCTGTTTAGTTTATACCAAAGGAAAACTTATATGTCTACTCTCCTGGCTTTACTGGAAGCAAGCTCATCAATAACATTTAAAAAATACGCTTCTTACCTTATCTCGTTTTCACTTGATATAATTGACATGTTTGGCAAGTTCTCCCGACCCAGTGACAATCTTAAATAATTGTTCATTAATTTCAGTTTTCTCTCTTGAAGGACCCCATCGTGACTGCAGTGGGCTGTTTATCCCCAAAGACTAATTAAGAAACTTTTCTTCATTATTCTGGGTAGACAGCCCACTTCGTAAAACATCTGTGTTAGACTTTTCAAATAAAGGAAAAAGAACCTTTCAAACAGTTTACTGAAAGCCGGGAGGCACACTTACTCAAGTCCCTTCATAAAGAGTAACCCTGAGCTGTGCGCTCGGTGGTCCCTGCAGATCTGTC